CTAGCATTTTTGCTTCTTTTGAACAAAATTCCTCTTCTTCGTGTCCCTTTTAAATATTGGACAATTCTAAGAGCAACATGCAAATGTGCTTCTTTTGGTTGATACATAAATTGACTTACTAAACTCACAACAAAAGCAATATCTGGTCTAGTGTGAGACAGATAAGTAAGTATCTGCACAAGTTTCTGGTGCATTTCTTTATTCACAACAACATCATCCTTTGCACTTCCCATCTTTGTATTTAGATTAGCAGGTGTACTTGTTGGTTTGTAGGCTGTTTTACCCATTTCTTGTAGCAGCTCAGTAATGTATTTTTGCTACTATATGAAGATCCCTTTCTTGGAATTGGCTACTTCAATTGCTCGAAACTGTTTTAACATTTCTAAAGCCTTGCTGTTAGGTTCCTGTTTCGAAACCTAACGATGGCAACTCACTCACACAATCACAGCCAGGAAACACTTAGAAAAGAATGAATTATTTGTATTCTCATCACCAAAAGTATCGTACAATCACTATCTGGGAGCATAACCTCCCTCCATCTAACGAGAGCCTAACCCCCCTCACTAGGTTCAAGACCTGTATATACGAAAGAATATCACAACCTACTCCACAAACTTACCAAAGGTTTACATTTATAGGCCCCTTGCCTGCCTTCTCCACTATTCCCCCGTTCGGTTCTTTCACCCTATCTTATATCCTATCATTACACACCGCTGCAAAACAACCTTGTCCTCAAGGTTGGAACAATGAAACTTGAGCCCATTGCATTGTGATGTGGTCTTATCATAGGGAGAGAACCCGCTGACTACTACTTGCAACTTCAGGTCTGGAGGCTTAGGTGGTGGCAACTCCTCCCCCACTATCTTCCATTCTTCCTCTTTCCTTCCTATCGCCCTCAAACCGTTCGGTTTTGACCTATACTAGTCAATACCGTTCGGTTTCGTCCTATATTGGTGAATACCAATCGGTTTCGTCCTATACTAGTAAAACCCGTTCGGTCCCCCATCGACATGTGCAGCTTCATTGCTTTTGGCTGAATAGGGCCTCTAGCCGAGAGAGTGGGCAACTCCGTCTGCTTCCGGTCTAATTCAGTCTCGAACTGCTCGGCAACCGTACCACGTGTTCGTCCCCCAAATGACTCGTCTTCTACCCTACTCCCATTCTTTACCTCCCGGGCATTGATTCTTCCATCCCTTCTTCCCTCCGAGGCCTTCATTCCTTCTTTCATCACGCTTCTCTCCCACTGATCCATCCTTCCTAGACCGTTCGGTTCCTTCCATACTCTTCCGTTCGGTTCTGGCAGTACTTGACCGTTCGGTTCCTGAAATCCTCTCAGGTTCCAAGCCTGAAGTCCTCTCCCGCTCAGTTCTGGCATTTCTCCCACGTTTGATGCTGGGACGTATTCTTTCGCGGTTCCCGACTGCTTATTGGCTGCCACCCTTTTAAAGATGGTGCCCCTGTTACGTTCTCCAAATCGCACCACCACTGCCTCCTTCAGGCCTTCCCAAGAACGATTCTTGGCTTTCTCCTTCCAGGCTCTGAACCAGTAACCAGCGCTCCCCTCCATACTGATGTCCGCTAGGCGCACCCTTTCCTCCTCTGCCACACCTTGCAACTCGAAGAACTGCTCTGCCTCAGAGAACCACCCTAACAGATCAAACCCTTCGAAAGTGGGCAGTTCTACCCTTTTCTTCCCGCTGGGTTGCACTTCATGGCATTCATCCCCTCTCTCCCCTTCCTCTTCCTCTCGCCGGTCCCAATGTTGGCCGTCCTGGTTGTGGCCTCGACCACCCAACCTCCTTATTATTTCTTGCAAATCTTGGAGTATTGCTTTATAATCTTGGCATATTGCTGCATAATCTGGTCGCAATGCTCCTGTTTGCACCTTCATTCTATCAACCGCAATTTCCTTCACCCCCACACGATTCCAGCGACGTCTCGATCCGGCAGGTCGGACCAATTTGTTAGGTTCCTGTTTCGAAACCTAACGATGGCAACTCACTCACACAATCACAGCCAGGAAACACTTAGAAAAGAATGAATTATTTGTATTCTCATCACCAAAAGTATCGTGCAATCAGTATCTGGGAGCATAACCTCCCTCCATCTAAGGAGAGCCTAACCCCCCTCACTAGGTTCAAGACCTGTATATACGAAAGAATATCACTCCCTACTCCACAGACTTACCAAAGGTTTATATTTATAGGTCCCTTGTCCGCCTTCTCCACTATTCCCCCGTTCGGTTCTTTCACCCCTATCTTATATCCTATCACTTGCTTTCAATCTCTTTGGTAAACACTGCTCAATCTTTGTTTCTCGTTTTCATCATTTCCAACAACAATGATATCATCCACATAGACCAATAGAATTGTTACTGGAATTACTGCCTAAAATTTGTTGCCATAGTTGCCATAAATCTGTTGCTGGAATTACTGCCTAAAATTTCAATGGAGTTGTGCTGGGGCCATTGCCAGAGCTTTTACTGGAGTTGTCACCCATTTGTTTAATCACCACTTGACTCATAGGAACCAAAATAAGACTGATGCTTCTTCACCACACATGTGCTGAAAATTTGCTCTCAGATTTCAATGTATCAAAAAGTGTTTTTACAAGAGTTAGGCATGGTTTATTTTGTAGGATAAACCATCCTTAAATTCCTTTGCTAATTACAAAAGAATGAAATGCTCTTACAAAGGAAAAAGAATACAAAAATAAAGAAACTAATGAATTAGTTATGTGAGCAAAAACATCTTCTCTTCATGTTCCTAGTGATCATCATTGGAATAACATGTTCTTGCTCATTTTCTGTTTTTATTCCTGCACTCTTCATAGTAGAATATCTATATGATACTGTTAGGAACCCAGAATTGAAAAGAGAAAAAAAGGTAATACTTTAGATTGAAACTCTAAAATAATTCTTAAGGGCTTGATCTCATAATCTTCTATTTATAAGAATAAATTGATACAAGAGTATATGATAAATAGGGTAACCCTAGACACAATATAATCATGGTAAATAGGGTAACCCTTCACACAATATAATGATGATAAATAGGGTAAATATCCTAACATTAATATTTTTTTATTGAAAAGACTGAAAAGAACACAAAATAGGAGAGCACTCTCTCCTTCAAGGGTTTCTTTCCCCTTCAGAAAGAGCTAAAGCTCAATCTACAAAATTATCATCCTCCCCTCCAAGGAACTGATTGGTCCATTTATATAGACCAACTCCCAACTGATAGCAGTGTGTTCACTTATTTTTCCATTCCTTCCTTTATTCACTGCTTCCTTTGTTCTTATATTCTCTAATAACCTTTTCCACCACTTCCTTTTATTTTTCCTTCTACCATAAACCTTCCATCTCCTTTCATTACATGTAGCTGCAATAACAACCTTGTCCTCAAGGTTGGAATAGTGAAGCTTGATCCCATGGCTCATTTTCATCAACATGTTATCTATCCTTTGATCCCATGGCATTGTGATATTGTCTTATTATAGGAAGGGAACCCACTAGCTACTGCCGGCTACTGCCTGCAAATTCAGGTCTGTAGGTTTGGGTGGTGGTCGATATGAGAGTGGTCTTTGTATACCAGATTCTAAACCCATTAAGTTGGAATCCCAAAATTCCGATGTCATTGATGTTCTTATCATTATCCAGATTCTAAACCCATTAAGTTCAACAATAAATTCTTATTGCTATTACGTAAATCTGATTTTTGGAAAAAATGTTGCTTGGCTGCATCTCCACCACCAACTCGCTTCTGGGTTAACTCTATAATTGGGTTATCACGAAGTTGACCATCACAGCCCATAATCCTCACTCTCTTTCTTGATACATCCCCTTCATCCTCCATCATAATTTTTGTTTCTGTTACAAATCTCACTTCTTTTTTTTGTTTTTTCTTCGCTAAGGAGGGTGTGATTCTTCCTTACTGACCGTTCTCCCACATCTAGAGCAAGTTCCATATCTTTAATCCAGTCTTTGGATCTTGTTGTGGAATCCGATTTTGAATGATAGATTGCAGTCCTGCAAAGCAATATCCCAACAATTGATCTTCTAGTGTTTGATTTGCTTGTGACACCAACCTTGAGGCGTCATACCCTTTAAATTTGGGCAACTCCACTGTTTTAACCCCGTGCCTCTACAATTCTTCTTCCTCCTCATCAGGTCTACTATGTAAATATCTTTCTTGCTTCTTCTCTTCATCATTGGCCAAGTATTGTCCTTCAGAGAAATTCTTGCCTTTCTTGATGTCTTGCAGACTTTCTTTCTCAGCATCCATACCTGTCTTTATCTCTTTCTTTCCTTTCATGACATCTTGATGAACATCCTCTCTCCTTCCCTTTCTCCCTCCGTTAACAGATTTCTCACTTCCTTCTGAGCCCTTTCTGTGATTCTTGGATTTCTACAGCATTTCTTTCATTTCTTGGAAGATCTCCCTCATTTCTTGCATAATATCCCTCACTTCTGTCATAGCCTTTCTGCTGGCCCATCTCTCTAGAGTATTTACTCTCCCCTCCATTATTCTTCCTCTTCTTGATCCGATACATAAGTTTTCTGTAAATTTTCTTGTATTAGATTTTAAATTTTCTACTAAGTGGCATGTTTGGACATCTTTTTTAATTTTTAATTTATTCCCATCCCTTGTTTTGATGAATATTAGATTTTTGGGCTTTAAGTTCAACGGGAATGATTTGATTGTAAAGATGATTTATTTATTGGTGTTGAAGCATGAGTTAGAAATTGAAATTTGCTGGATTATTATTGTTTGCCTTTGACTAAGTTTATATTCAGTTGAATAGATTATACCTTTCTCAGTTTCTTTTGTACCTGTTCTTCAAAATTATTACCCTGTTTTCTTTCAAATGTGCTATAAAAGCATTCTTTTCTATTACTCGTCACAAATGACATTGATGAATTTTTTTATTTGAACTAAAAACAACATTATTTATTGTTTTAAGGGAAAGGAATTTATTAGTGTTCACATCTTATTAGTGTTATTATTGAATACTAATGATGCTTTTATTCTAGGAATCAAGCAGATTACTTTCTGAAGAAAATGGTTATGTTCATATGAGAAAAATGAAAAAGGTGCTGCGGAGGAGGCAACAACATATGACATCTCAAATTTCAATGCTCTATCCTGTGAAGATCTTGATTGGACCAGCACAAAAGCAAGAGCTTGAGGCATATCCTTCGAGTAACCTGGCAGGTAAGGGTTCTCAATAGTCTTTTTTTTTTGTTTTCTCTATGTACATACAGCTTATGGAGTGAAAAAAAAACTGCCTAAGTTCATAAAAAGTAAGAAACTTGTAATTTAAATAACTATTGAAACACAAGGTGTTGGATGGTTCAATCGCTAATCCTTATTTTCTTATTGGTTAGATAAAGTTCTTCCATAAGTTCTGTTATTATGTGAAAGGATGTCTCTGATTCTGTACTTTGCTTGCCTGATGTGTTTGTCTTTGTAAGTGGATTTGGGTTTAACTCAACCCTATAAAGTTGGTTTGCATGGCAAGATTTACACCCACTTATATACTCTAATTTGGTCCTATTTATGGTTGATGTAAGATTTTAATACAATCTTTCACGCTAGACATCTCAAGCATGTGAATAAATGTTTATATGTGTGATCTGTTAGTGAGTGCAATGATAGGCCTAACAAACTTAGTTAGGATAGGCTCTAATATCATCTAAGAAAGTGAAGTTTATGTCTAATTCAACTTTACAAAATCAACCCCAAATATGATGTTCACATCCATTTATATACTATAATTTAGTTATATCTCTAGTTGATGTGGAATGTCTAACATATTAGTTTGTCTCGGATCAAAATGAAGCAATTGATAAGGAAATATGCAGCAAATGCCAACCAATAGGAATATTGTTAGAGTACGCATTAAGTATAGTTAGGAAGTAATTGTATTGGGAAAACCCAATACTTATTAGTCGTACCTAGCTCCGTACCTAAGTATCTATGATTGATCTTTGAGCTTCCCTATACACATTGTATCAGAATCCTATCAATATAAAAATGAGAAACATATGAGGGGAGTTAAGGGAATTGTTAAGGACGACTTCACTTCAAAATCTCACTAGAAACACCACAAATGAAGGAATTGTTAAGGGAAATTTGTGAAAGGAAGATGAACTGGCTAGGTACAAGATAAGGCAATGGAAGGAGAAGATAGGATGCTAAGGAGCATAGGAGGAAGATCCTGACTCCAAAAGGAAAAGAGCTAGAAAAAAGAATTATACAGGATAAATAGTTTCTCGGAGAAATAAATTTGCTGTTGGAAAGGATATATACATCTTTTACCAATACATTTTCTTTCTTTCTAATATTCTCTGCAAACAATGGAACTAGAGGAAGGAAAATATGCTATTTTTTCCTTTTTCTCTTGAATCAAACAATAGGAAGAAAACATTTTTCTCTTCATTTTCTATCTTCTGATTTTTTCTTCCCTTACAAAAAAAGTTTCATCCTGTTTTCGTTGAACCAGTTAGTATTCTTTTATCATGATATATGTGATATAACTTGTGAACCACTTCATTGTTGTTCTATATGGAAGTCTAATGTGCAAGGTTGAATCATTAGGTCTGTTTAGCTGTCATGTGTTGTTAGGAACCTTTGTAAGAATCCTATCTATCTCCCTTACTCTCACACCTCAGTACTCTAACAGAAAGCAATTGTAAAAGAAATGATTTGTATTCACATCAAAGAATCAAGAATACAATTGGGAAACCAGGAGCTTAACCTCCCTCACCAAGTCTAAACTGGTCTGTAACTCAAGAGTAAAAAAACTGTCTCCTTGTAACTACAAAAGAGGTCCTTTTTATAGACCTTTTCCCGCCCCCCTTAACTGCTCAAAACAGTTAAGTACTCATCTTTATTTCTCTACTATCTTTCTCCCTTCATAAACCCTCAAGGTCCTAACATGTGTTTTTATTTTTCTTTGAAGTTTCACATTGAATCTGTAACGATTAAATTGACAGGTCTCTGGGGGAAATACAAACCTTTTGAGCATCCATCCAGTTAATTATTTTTGGTTTTTCATATTACTTTTCTTCATACTGTTAGGGACTTTCATGCTATATTTTATAATGTGACATAGATGCACTAGAATACCTAGCTATTCATTGGATATTAACTTGAGATTATCATTATCTTAAGTTAAATTATCACAACTGTTTTGCTAATATTAACTGCAATTGTAAGTGATACCTTTTCTGGTTTTATTAATATTTTCATTTATTTCATTACTCAGGAACTTCTGCTGGACTTAAACCAATTAATGAAGGATCCTTAACGATTCGTGGCCTGCATTTGAATGTGCCATCTTTTAGGAAAATGAGCTTTTTCACTGATAAAAAGGAAATTCAGGTGTCTGCTACTTCCCTAGGATATGTTGCACATGTAAGTATTAGAACCTACTTGCCCTTTTTTGTCTCAACTGAATGTGCTATTCTATCGTATGCTTTGTCATGACATGGTCTGCATTTGCAAAATTTGTCGTGTATAGTTTCTAAATTGTCATACATATTTTGTTTTTCCATTGCATAATGATAGGTTTCTTGGAAGCAAGAAACCCAAGATACCTTTGGTTAGCACACAACACACACAAAACTCACAAAAATTGATTTCTGGGAACAAAAGACAATGTGCAATGGCCACCAAGGAAGCAATTCTTCCCTCACACAGGATGTACTATTCCTGTCAAACACTACAAACATAAACGTGTCCCCCTTGAGACACTCTCCCCCTTTTATAGATAACACCTTAACCCGAACATACCTACCCCAACAACCTAACTAACTCTCCCTCATCCTAACCATCATGTCTTGTTTATAATTCTCTTCCTCCTTTCATATAGCCTTAGGGTCCCATCACATAATGTGTTTCCAGTTATAACATTTCATATGCTAGCTCAAGTCAATAATGATTGTTTACCTAGTAGTTATTGAAATGTCTCCTCTCTTTGAATAATTTCTGTTATTGAAATGTACTTTACTAGACTGACTTTCTCGCAGGCTGTTTCACTTATAGCCTCTTACTTGCAAGTTCCTTTGCGATATCCTTTACGGTTGTGTGCTTCTCATTCGTATATCATTGACAATGCACCTTCAACAGAGCTAACATCTGAAGCTTTACCAAATGCAAACACAAATGCCAAGCATGTGGAATTCCCCCTTTTTTTAGAAGGTCAAGACACAACAAGAGCAGCTTACGCTGTATTCTTACTAAATAAGGTATATATTTCTATTTGCTTGCAGTAATTCTTAATCTGAGTCCAGTTAAGTGCATTTTTAAGAGACTTTCTGCTCCTTTATCATTTGTCTGATTTATTTGTTTTGGTCTTTGACTTTTCTTATTCCTTGATGATTCTATTTCTAGTCTGTAGCATCCGTGTTTTGCATGGTTAGCAATGGAGTTCCCATCTGTTTCACTGAAATAGCTTTCTAGCCAAGATTGCATTTTTTGGGACTTTTCTTGAACATGTACATGCTGGTTGATTAAGAAATTATTTGGACTATGAGAGTGAAGTCTACTGTATGTTAACACATGTTTTGTTCTTCTAAAGTGAGCTTCTTATTTCGGAGAGAAATGTTGCAATCTCAGTTATAGATAAGAATATCTACTATCAATATTACGTACACTTTCATTACCAATCATGAATGTGTTAGAACATCAGCCCATTTTTTTTTCAGTGACTGAAATTACTTTATTCGTATTCACTTTAGAAGAGTCAAAATGCTGTGTTCATTTCAAGGCATGAAAGATTAAGAGTTTTGTTTTTGAGTTATGCTTTTACTTAAGAAGCTTTAGTTCTAACATTTCTTTCTGAAGTAATGAGTTTTTCCTCTAACTTCCTCGAACCAAAAACAAAAAGATGCTTTACATGCTCTGAAAAATAGCATAAAATGTACCTTAGGGCATTTTACACTTAATTTTTAACTGCAGAACCCTGCGTGTTGGCAGTTAGGTTTGCATCTGTATTATATCTTAAATATGCTGAATATATTTAATCTCTCGCGTTTAATTACTGCCTTTTCTTTTCTCTTGTTAAATTTCTCTTGAGGTGTGGTTGTCTGAACGAGATTCGATACGTATTGTAGTGACATACTTCCAAATTAACCTTGACTTACAGCTCCCTTCCCTCGAGCTTTTTTGATTGTAGGATTTAGAACAGCTTTTGAATTTCATTGGTGCAAAGAGTTTGGGACCGCGCCATGTACTTGCTAATTTGAGGGAGCTCTATAGGATTATCCAGGCTTCAGCTTTTATAGATAACTTGATATAGTGGTTTTGTCTCTACCGTAATTTCCTTGTAATTTGATTTTTTTTAAATCCTTGCTAGGGTGCAATTTTTTTGGTGCACCTTCCAATGTAGCATCGTTATCAAAATGGAACTTCCTATAATGGATTTGGTATTCTGTAAAAAAGAGTATACCGTACTGCCAAAAAATTAGTGTTATTTGAGCATATTATAAATGCCAAATGCATAGTTATATTGTATAAGAACTAGTGGAGAATGGCATGCATTTTTAATCCTTTTGCCTAAAACATGAAACAGGGACGATGAAATTCCCTCTTAGGATGAGAAAAGGAGATGGAGTGATTTTTCAAATTTTGATGGTTTTATTACGTCATGTGAGTAGTTTATTTGATTTATTTGTTTTAGCTCGTGTCAGCAAGAGGAGCCCAGATTTGCAGCTTGACAAGAGGCTTACTCCCTTAACCACCACATGTTTCCTGCATCTCTTTATTTCCATTTTGTCCTACAGAAAACTAGAATCTCTCTATTTTCATTTTGTCCTATAGAAAACTAGAAATCAAATAAATTAATAAACTAAAAGAAGAAGAAATCGTTGAAAGGTTTAACATTCGTTTGGTCTTCAATAGATCTTGACATCTGTCGACGAAAATCAAGATATGTTGAAGGCATAACAGATCTTCCATATTTGTTTGGCTTTTCAACGATTTTTTTTTATACACAACAAATTTTAAACAAATTAAATAATTATAATTAAATTAATAAATAATCCAAAATCTAAAAGTATATACTACAAATAAAAATTTATACAAAAATTAAATTTATAAACTAAAACCAAAAATATAAAAATAAAAAATCTGATGTATGGCTTTGTGTATGGCTTATTCTATATTTTTCAAACAACAATGTGCAGATACTAGCATTTTAACACGAGTATAATCATTCATGTGACATTATGTTACAAAGCACATAAACAATACCAAACGGAGGCAACTAAGTGACAATGAAAGCAATACCAAAACGAAAAGGAAACCAACTTGAATCCAAGTGTTTCTTGGGATGAAATCAACCATGAACCATACTCTTCTTTGCGAACCAATCACCTTATAATGGAACCAACTCAGTAACAATGGAAGTAATGGAAATGGAGGAGGAAACGAAAATCACAAATAAGAGAAGTAACAGGAGGAAAGGAAGAAGAGAGTGAAAGGAAAAAATAAAGTTTTTGAGGGTGTACCCTGTGATAATGAAAAAGTGAAAAGGACTGGGATTAGATTAGGGTTTTAGATTAAAATAAGTAAAACTAAAAAATAAATATTTAGATAAGGTCAGTTTTGAAAATAAGAAAAGAGGAAAAGATACAAGGAGCAACATGTGGTGGTGGAAGGAGTAACCCTCGTTTGACAATAGGGCCAATATTAATATGAGGCCTATTAGCACCACAATGACCAAAAGGCAGAGTAAGAGATCATAATATTTTATAGACTATCAGCTTTCATGAAAAAGGCATTTGACATAATCATATTATAAAGATATTTTGGTTGGGTGTCAAGTAAATAACTAAAATGAATTTCATTGAAATAAAATAACCAAAATGAATTAATTTTTCATCATGGGAAATCTAGCACACCAATCATGGTGCATCAAAAGCAACATGCCAAATATAACCAAATAAATTCAAAGAGGTCACTAACAAACATCAATGGACCATTAGTTAAACCTTTATTCATCGAACATTCAACAACTTAAGGTTAATCAAAATGAGAAACAAGCTTCCTAAAATTACATATCAACTAAAACATATCTTTCAAGACAAAAAAATTTATTAATTATTTAATGGGCCTAAGTTCTAAAACTAACACTTTTTACATGTTTCCTAGGTTGACCTTTTAAAGGCGAGTACAAGTTAGATTTCTATTAGTCTATGTCTTCTTCAACTAAATTGTCAGCACCTCTTTGATCATAACTTTTACCAACATCATCACATACTAGATTTTTGAAATAGAGTATGGGTATCATCAACCATAGCAACCAAAGCTTATTTTTCTACAACAAGATCAAACAAACATTCCCTTTGGAAGTTCTTCTTCACTCTACCGTTATGATGACCATCAAAGGCTACTTTAACAATGTCAGTACACATCTCTTCATTTGATACAAACACCTTAGTAATGACCTTTATAAAGCAAAATAAGCACAAACATCGTATTCAAATGAAAAAAAAAAACATAAAATGTAATTAATATAATCAATTTTTATCTCATTTCATTAATGACAAAAATGTTTTGAACTTCTACTTCACCAATTTTAACATTAACCCATTGAAGAATTTTAGAAAAAGGCTTAATACCTCTTTTGGTCCCTCGAAAGGGGGCAAATGTTCAATTGCGTCCTACGTTTTTTAAAAAGTTCAATGTAGTCCCAACTTGTGAAAAATGTGTGCAATTAAATCCTTTTTGGTAACGACGTTAATTTTTTAACAGGCCAGCTAACAGGGTGTACTAAAGATTGCAACGTGTCTGGGGAAGGTTAATACGTGGCTGTGTGAGGTTAATACGTGGATATATTATTACAGATAAAGTGGCAGTGGTGAATAAATCAGAGGTTAGGGTTTGGGTTGCAGAGAAATTACGATTTGGGATTTATCATTGTGGAGGAAGTTTCTTGAAATAAGGGTGTTGTTGAAGCTGAAATCTGCAGAGCGAATTGGAAACCACAAATCAGGTTAGGGTTTATGTTTGATAATTTTATGAAATGTAGTTGTTGTATATGTTATCACTGTTGTCGCTTTATAGGGGGTTTAAGTAGGGGTGAAAAGTTGTCTTCTTTTGATGGTTGATAGTGGTCCCATAGATATTAGTTTAACTTAAATTAGTGTCCCCATTTGCATTTGCAGGGTTCGGGTAGGGATATGTGATGACATGTTTCAGGTTGTGGTCCATCACGGTTGGACCTTGATCAAAGAAGTTCCCTTTAAGTTTATGGGTGGGGAGATATTTTATTGGGACGTAGATCCCGATAAATGGTGTTATTTTGGAGTTTTAGGTTCACTTAAAGATCTGGGTTACATGTAAGTAAAAGAATTATATTACAATATCCAAGATGTTTTACATAAGCTTGATGATGATAAAAGAGCTATGAACATGATGAAGGTGGCTAATTATTTGGGGAAAGTGAACCTCTATGTTGTGCATGGGGTGGACGAACCAACTATTGTAGAAAATGATGAGAATGAGATTTTGTACCTATGTGAAGGTCCTGTAGAGAGTGGTGAGGGTAGTGGCGTTGGAGGAGAAGCACATGTTGAGGGTGGTGATGAAATAATTAGGGACGTAGTGCAGGGTGTAGTGGAGGTTGAGAATTGTGATGCAGTGGATGTTGAGAATGAAGATGTTTGGGAGGATGACAAGGAGGATTCAGAGGATGTTGAGGTTGCAGTGGAGGTTCAGAATGAGGATAGAGTTGAGTTTGAAAGTGAAGAAGTAGTGGAAGTGGATAATGTGGATGAAGTTGAGGTTGAAAGTGATGAATTAGTGGAAGTGGACATTGAGGATGGAGGGGAGGTTGAAAGTGAAGAAGAATTGGAAGTGGACATTGAGGATGGAGGGGAGGTTCATAGTGAACAAGAATTGGAAGTGGAAGTGGACAGTGATGATGAACCAGGAATGGATGATCTGAGTGGTGATGAATACGTTGATGCAGACAATCATCAAGAAACCCAACAACAATGCAGGGGTTTGTCAGACGATGATTGAGAGTCTAATATGCTTGTAACTACTGAAAACAGTACAAGTGAGGAGGATGACAACGAGGATAGAGTATCTGTGGGTGGTTTCTCAAAATATGCAAAACAGAAGTCCATGGCAGATTACAAGTGGGAAGTGGGCACCATTTTTAGTAGGAGGGAAGACTTTAAGGATGTTATTAGAAGGTATGTTGTTTATGTTGGGAGGGATCTAAAATTTGTCAAGAATGATAACCGTAGGGTGAGGGTGAGCTGCATGGGTGCCCAAGGTAAGTGCCCATGGGTAGCTTACTGTGGGTACTTGCCATCACGCAAAATTTGGCAATTAAGGAAGATAATTGATACTCACGGTTGTAGTAGGCAACTTAACATCAAACTAATGAATGCTAAGTGGTTGAGTTAGGAAATAGATAGGTCTTTAGTTGACAATCCTAGTTTAAGGGTGAATGATATTCGTACTAAATCATTAAGAAAATGGAATACAAATGTGTCAATATCCAAGGCACGAAGGGCAAAGTTAATTGCCACAAGACAGGTTGAAGGAGATTTCAAAGAATAGTATAAAAGGATATACGACTATGGACATGAGTTGTTGAGGTGTAACCCAGGTTCAACAGTGCAGATTAAAGTTGAGTCTCATAATGGTGACCCAATCTTCCAAAGAATGTATGTTTGTCTGAAAGCTTGTAAAGACAGCTTCAAAAGTTGTAGGCCCATAATATGTTTAGACGGATGTTTTTTGAAAGGTTATTACAAGGGGGAGTTGCTCACTGCTGTTGGTAGTGACCCAAATCAAATGCTACCCCTTGCCTATGCAGTAGTAGAAATGGAGAACAAAGACAGTTGGACATGGTTTTTGCAATTATTAATTGAAGACCTCGGGGGTAGTCAAGTATGTGGGGGGTGCACGTGGATGTCAGACCAGCAGAAGGTAAATATACTACTTATATTCAATTTTAGTTAATGCTTTGTTAAAGGATCTTGTTTTATGACTAAATTTAATTGTGCAGGGGTTGCTCCCAGCTATCCAGGAGCTTCTGCTTGGGGCAGAACAAATATTCTATCCTAGGCACCTATATGCAAACTTTAGGAAAAGGTTTGGTGGTCAAATATTAAAAAATCTGATGTGGAGAACTGCCACAAGCACATATCCCCAGGCTTGGGAGAGAGAGATGCTGAAAATTAAAGNTTTGTCAAGAATGATAACCGTAGGGTGAGGGTGAGCTGCATGGGTGCCCAAGGTAAGTGCCCATGGGTAGCTTACTGTGGGTACTTGCCATCACGCAAAATTTGGCAATTAAGGAAGATAATTGATACTCACGGTTGTAGTAGGCAACTTAACATCAAACTAATGAATGCTAAGTGGTTGAGTTAGGAAATAGATAGGTCTTTAGTTGACAATCCTAGTTTAAGGGTGAATGATATTCGTACTAAAGCATTAAGAAAATGGAATACAAATGTGTCAATATCCAAGGCACGAAGGGCAAAGTTAATTGCCACAAGACAGGTTGAAGGAGATTTCAAAGAATAGTATAAAAGGATATACGACTATGGACATGAGCTGTTGAGGTGTAACCCAGGTTCAACAGTGCAGATTAAAGTTGAGTCTCATAATGGTGACCCAATCTTCCAAAGAATGTATGTTTGTCTCAAAGCTTATAAAGATAGTTTCATAAGTTGTAGGCCCATTATATGTTTAGACGAATGTTTTTTGAAAGGTTATTACAAGGGGGAGTTGCTCACTGCTGTTGGTAGTGACCCAAATCAAATGCTACCCCTTGCCTATGCAGTAGTAGAAATGGAGAACAAAGACAGTTGGACATGGTTTTTGCAATTATTAATTGAAGACCTCGGGGGTAGTCAAGTATGTGGGGGGTGCACGTGGATGTCAGACCAGCAGAAGGTAAATATACTACTTATATTCAATTTTAGTTAATGCTTTGTTAAAGGATCTTGTTTTATGACTAAATTTAATTGTGCAGGGGTTGCTCCCAGCTATCCAGGAGCTTCTGCTTGGGGCAGAACAAATATTCTATCCTAGGCACCTATATGCAAACTTTAGGAAAAGGTTTGGTGGTCAAATATTAAAAAATCTGATGTGGAGAACTGCCACAAGCACATATCCCCAGGCTTGGGAGAGAGAGATGCTGAAAATTAAAGAAGTCAATATTGAAGCATATAAATACCTCATAGGCATTCCCCCGAGGTAACCCATTAGCATTACATACAATTTAGTGTCCCTGATGCATTGTAACCCATTTCAGAAATTTTTTGTGCAACAGGTTTTGGTCAAGATCTCGCTTCATAGGTCAAGCAATGAGTGATACACTAGATAACAACATCAGTGAAGCTTTCAACAGTGTTCTTATTCATGCAAGAGGAAAACCAATTATCACCATGATGAAGGATATCAGAGTTTATCTCATGAAAAGGTGGGCCACCAATAGAACCAAGGTGGCATCTATGGACTTCACAATATGCCCAAAGATAAAGAAGAGACTTCACAAGGAATGTAATCTGTCAAGATTTTGGGTGCCAAGGTAATATTATCAATTTATTTTATATACATGTTATTTATCTACATTGTTGATGTGCTTCATTTCTTTCAGCTAGTCTGCACGAAAGATTTTTTAGGTTATGCATACTTCATCAGTTGGGAACAAGTTCACACTGGATCTGGACACAAAGGAGTGTAGCTGTAGAAAGTGGATGATCAGTGCCATCCCATGCTCTCATGCAATTGCAGCAATGAACTACTCCAACGTTGATCCAGAGAATTTTATCCCCACTTTGCTCACAAGATCCACCTATGAAGAGGTGTATGCGTCCATAGTTTTTCCACTCAATGGCCACCTACTATGGGAAACCACAAATTTCAATGATGTACTACCACCAGTGATGAGGAAGATGCCTGGGAGGCCAAAGAAAAAAAGGAGGTTGGAAGCATGGGAGCTAACTAAGGATGACACTCAAATGCGTGTTGGTGGGCATACGAAAAAATGTAGTATTTGTCGTCAGAGGGAGCACAACAAGAATAACTGCCCTTTAAAGCCTCAGCCAGCAGAAACAGCACAACCATCACAGCCACCTCCAAGTTCCCCGACCCCTCAACCATCACAGTCACCAAGTCCCCAATCATCCCGTCCAATAAAATGCAAAGTCAGAAGAAAAGATACTTAGATGAATTGGTTTATTAGATAGTTAACTTACATGGTGGTGTAATATGTACTGTTTGTTAGATGAACTGGGGGTATTGTGTACTGTATATTAGTGAACTGATGTCTTTATGTCTTTGTTTTATGTGTGGTAATGAATGAAAGTGGTTTGTTGATGTTTTGGTCAAAACTTCTACTTAAATTTATTTTTGCAGAAACTGGTAATATGTGCCATTAGTCATCATCATATGCATTATTGGGTTGACCTATGTGAACATTTTTAAAGCAAATGGGAGACTGATTTCAACATTTTTAAACCATAAGGGGGACTAATTTGAACATTCTTCACTGAAATTAACTCATTAAAATAGTCAATNAAAGAACTATATTACAATATCCAAGATGTTTTACATAAGCTTGATGATGATAAAAGAGCTATGAACATGATGAAGGTGGCTAATTATTTGGGGAAAGTGAACCTCTATGTTGTGCATGGGGTGGACGAACCAACTATTGTAGAAAATGATGAGAATGAGATTTTGTACCTATGTGAAGGTCCTGTAGAGAGTGGTGAGGGTAGTGGCGTTGGAGGAGAAGCACATGTTGAGGGTGGTGATGAAATAATTAGGGACGTAGTGCAGGGTGTAGTGGAGGTTGAGAATTGTGATGCAGTGGATGTTGAGAATGAAGATGTTTGGGAGGATGACAAGGAGGATTCAGAGGATGTTGAGGTTGCAGTGGAGGTTCAGAATGAGGATAGAGTTGAGTTTGAAAGTGAAGAAGTAGTGGAAGTGGATAATGTGGATGAAGTTGAGGTTGAAAGTGATGAATTAGTGGAAGTGGACATTGAGGATGGAGGGGAGGTTGAAAGTGAAGAAGAATTGGAAGTGGACATTGAGGATGGAGGGGAGGTTCATAGTGAACAAGAATTGGAAGTGGAAGTGGACAGTGATGATGAACCAGGAATGGATGATCTGAGTGGTGATGAATACGTTGATGCAGACAATCATCAAGAAACCCAACAACAATGCAGGGGTTTGTCAGACGATGATTGAGAGTCTAATATGCTTGTAACTACTGAAAACAGTACAAGTGAGGAGGATGACAACGAGGATAGAGTATCTGTGGGTGGTTTCTCAAAATATGCAAAACAGAAGTCCATGGCAGATTACAAGTGGGAAGTGGGCACCATTTTTAGTAGGAGGGAAGACTTTAAGGATGTTATTAGAAGGTATGTTGTTTATGTTGGGAGGGATCTAAAATTTGTCAAGAATGATAACCGTAGGGTGAGGGTGAGCTGCATGGGTGCCCAAGGTAAGTGCCCATGGGTAGCTTACTGTGGGTACTTGCCATCACGCAAAATTTGGCAATTAAGGAAGATAATTGATACTCACGGTTGTAGTAGGCAACTTAACATCAAACTAATGAATGCTAAGTGGTTGAGTTAGGAAATAGATAGGTCTTTAGTTGACAATCCTAGTTTAAGGGTGAATGATATTCGTACTAAAGCATTAAGAAAATGGAATACAAATGTGTCAATATCCAAGGCACGAAGGGCAAAGTTAATTGCCACAAGACAGGTTGAAGGAGATTTCAAAGAATAGTATAAAAGGATATACGACTATGGACATGAGCTGTTGAGGTGTAACCCAGGTTCAACAGTGCAGATTAAAGTTGAGTCTCATAATGGTGACCCAATCTTCCAAAGAATGTATGTTTGTCTCAAAGCTTATAAAGATAGTTTCATAAGTTGTAGGCCCATTATATGTTTAGACGAATGTTTTTTGAAAGGTTATTACAAGGGGGAGTTGCTCACTGCTGTTGGTAGTGACCCAAATCAAATGCTACCCCTTGCCTATGCAGTAGTAGAAATGGAGAACAAAGACAGTTGGACATGGTTTTTGCAATTATTAATTGAAGACCTCGGGGGTAGTCAAGTATGTGGGGGGTGCACGTGGATGTCAGACCAGCAGAAGGTAAATATACTACTTATATTCAATTTTAGTTAATGCTTTGTTAAAGGATCTTGTTTTATGACTAAATTTAATTGTGCAGGGGTTGCTCCCAGCTATCCAGGAGCTTCTGCTTGGGGCAGAACAAATATTCTATCCTAGGCACCTATATGCAAACTTTAGGAAAAGGTTTGGTGGTCAAATATTAAAAAATCTGATGTGGAGAACTGCCACAAGCACATATCCCCAGGCTTGGGAGAGAGAGATGCTGAAAATTAAAGAAGTCAATATTGAAGCATATAAATACCTCATAGGCATTCCCCCGAGGTAACCCATTAGCATTACATACAATTTAGTGTCCCTGATGCATTGTAACCCATTTCAGAAATTTTTTGTGCAACAGGTTTTGGTCAAGATCTCGCTTCATAGGTCAAGCAATGAGTGATACACTAGATAACAACATCAGTGAAGCTTTCAACAGTGTTCTTATTCATGCAAGAGGAAAACCAATTATCACCATGATGAAGGATATCAGAGTTTATCTCATGAAAAGGTGGGCCACCAATAGAACCAAGGTGGCATCTATGGACTTCACAATATGCCCAAAGATAAAGAAGAGACTTCACAAGGAATGTAATCTGTCAAGATTTTGGGTGCCAAGGTAATATTATCAATTTATTTTATATACATGTTATTTATCTACATTGTTGATGTGCTTCATTTCTTTCAGCTAGTCTGCACGAAAGATTTTTTAGGTTATGCATACTTCATCAGTTGGGAACAAGTTCACACTGGATCTGGACACAAAGGAGTGTAGCTGTAGAAAGTGGATGATCAGTGCCATCCCATGCTCTCATGCAATTGCAGCAATGAACTACTCCAACGTTGATCCAGAGAATTTTATCCCCACTTTGCTCACAAGATCCACCTATGAAGAGGTGTATGCGTCCATAGTTTTTCCACTCAATGGCCACCTACTATGGGAAACCACAAATTTCAATGATGTACTACCACCAGTGATGAGGAAGATGCCTGGGAGGCCAAAGAAAAAAAGGAGGTTGGAAGCATGGGAGCTAACTAAGGATGACACTCAAATGCGTGTTGGTGGGCATACGAAAAAATGTAGTATTTGTCGTCAGAGGGAGCACAACAAGAATAACTGCCCTTTAAAGCCTCAGCCAGCAGAAACAGCACAACCATCACAGCCACCTCCAAGTTCCCCGACCCCTCAACCATCACAGTCACCAAGTCCCCAATCATCCCGTCCAATAAAATGCAAAGTCAGAAGAAAAGATACTTAGATGAATTGGTTTATTAGATAGTTAACTTACATGGTGGTGTAATATGTACTGTTTGTTAGATGAACTGGGGGTATTGTGTACTGTATATTAGTGAACTGATGTCTTTATGTCTTTGTTTTATGTGTGGTAATGAATGAAAGTGGTTTGTTGATGTTTTGGTCAAAACTTCTACTTAAATTTATTTTTGCAGAAACTGGTAATATGTGCCATTAGTCATCATCATATGCATTATTGGGTTGACCTATGTGAACATTTTTAAAGCAAATGGGAGACTGATTTCAACATTTTTAAACCATAAGGGGGACTAATTTGAACATTCTTCACTGAAATTAACTCATTAAAATAGTCAATGGAACGTAATACATTGAATTGCATAATTGATCTTACACCTTTCACAACACAAGATGTTACAATCTAACTAAATCAACCTAAACAGAACCTGAACATGACAAGGTCCACCACAATACACACACACAAAGCTACAACTAACAACTTCATAATTTTCTGCAAATCCTTCACTACATTCTCCAGCTGACTTATCCTCCTCACCATTGTGCAATCTTTTTCATCAACGTTCTCTTCAAGACACCACTTGAAAAAGTTACAGGAGCTGTCAATTGAAGATCCACCATGTTATTCACCAAGTTAGGGAATCTATCAACAAATGCATCAAGTCAAAAAAAAACATTAACTCAAAAGGGTATACTTCAAACCTTGTAACGTGGACAACCCCAAAAATTTCTCCCAGCATTCTTCGTAGTTCTCGCCACTTTGGTTACAGCAATATCACCACAATAACAAGTAGGGATTATCCCACCTCCTCTCACACCACAACCATGGGACGACCGAGAAGATCCTTTGCCCCAACTTTTTGAACACGACGAACACCCTTCGGAACAAGCCATTCGTATCTCAAAGACCAATTGGGAGGAACCCAAACCCTAACCTCTGATTTATTCACCACTGCCACGTTATCTGTAATACTATAGCCACATATGAACCTCACACAACCACGTATTAACCTTCCCCAGACACGTTGCAATCTTCAGTACACCCTGTTAGTTGGCCCGTTAAAAAATTAACACCATTACCAAAAAAGATTTAATTGCACACTTTTTTCACGGGACCACATTGAACTTTTTAAAAAACGTAGGACACAATTGAACATTTGCCCCCTTTCGAGGGACCAAAAGAATTATTAAGCCTTAGAAAAACATGTTTTTCTTTTAGTCAACATCTTCTAACCAAATAAAACATGCTTCATTGCCTAAATCTATATTACATAGAAAATTAAGTTTAAAATGAGTAAAACTAACAAAACTATACTATATTCAATTCTATAAGAAAAATACAAATATACAGATAATGCGAATACACAACCAACAACATAACAATCTGATCTATTATGTTTCTTCCTTACACAAAAGATAACATTGTTAGCATAGAGCTAAAGAGAAGAAATTTTGATGATGTCTCAAAGTCAAGTCTCAAGTGCTCTTATTGCAGGAAGATCTTCATGAAGACTTGTTTTTATATTAAAGCTTTTATAATTTAGTAGATTTATGTATAGGATGTGATTTATATTTAATTCTATGTATTGTTTGCCTTAGGTTGCGTTAAAATTTATTTTGAATCAGAAAACCTCATTTTATACTCAAGATAATTGATTATCAATTTATAATAATCGATTATCAGTAATCAATTATGACTTGCCATAATTGATTATAATGAGCAATTATGAGAATTTTTAAGCAAGTTTTTTTTACCGTTGTGCATTCATTAAATGCATAATTAATTACCATAATTGGATAATTGATTATCACACGTTAATTAGTTGACAACAGATTTTTGGAGGTATCCTTGAATGAGATCTCTATAAATTAGATTGAGACTCTAATTCTAAAATATGAAATACAAAATACGAAATAAGTGTATTTTGAAAAATCTTATCTGTAGTGTGCGGTGATAAGTGCTCTAGGGTTTGTTGAACCCTTGTGTTGTGGCTTTGAGAACTCGGTGTGTTGGCATAGAGCGAGAACTTTCACAGGGAGTGTGATTGAGTGTTGTTGTTGTTGCTGAGTTAAAAGCTTGTCATCCTTCGTGAAGCATTCAGAGGAGGTGTTCATCCTTTGTGAAGATTTAGAGGAGGTGTTAATCCCTTGTGGGTTATAGGGGAAGTGACTAGATGTAGGATTGGTAAGATCCGAACCAAGATAAAATCATCAATGCAAATTTCTCTCAACCTTACTCTCTTTATTTGTTATTTTTATTTGCTTGGTAAGTTTAATTGAGTAGAAAATAAAAGGCACACATTCGTATTAAAAACCCTCTTGGTTTGTTATTCCACGCTAACCATTCCGCTGCAGCCGCTCTGCACACAAACTAGACACTCCGTAGTTATACTTTCCAACACATGATAAATCATTTTGATAAAGAATCTTCAACGAGTACGAATTTAAGGACAAATCCTCTTCAAAAAGAAGGGTATGATAGAGGACTATCTTCTGAAACATATATGAGAAGAACTTGAAGAAGAACATTTACAATTCAAAGGATTTATGATAAGGTCAAATATCAAAACACGTCTTCTTAAATCTTGAATCCTATCATCTTTCATGAAGAGAGGAATTTAAAGAACGAGAAGATCATGAACACAATTGAAGAATAATTATGAAAATTAAATAAATTATATTTTTTTTATTTTAATTGCCAACAATTTGTTTCTATGTTTCAAGTTATTTTTGGACCCAACGTCTCTGGGATTTCTTTTAGGTTTTCTTAGGTACCTTAAACGTTTGTACCTTTAACATCTTTGTGGCGAATGTTCCTTGATTTATCAATCTACTAGATTGTGATGTTCTCATCTTTGTCTTATTCCACATTCTTCTCTGATTTATTTTTATTGTGCTTCTTAAGGATTCAAATTCAGAAAAGAACGTATTCTTTCCTGGACAATATCGTATCATCTGGTATCTAGAGCAATGTCCTGGTTTGAATATCCTCTTTTATCTCAATTTTCTATCATATTAAAAAAAAACCAAAATTCAATTCCCTTGAGTTTTAAATTTTCATATTTTTTATGTTTTTCTTTTAATTTGTGTATTTCTACATTTGATTCGTGGAAATTAATTATTTTTTTTCTTTTTTGTGTTTTTATGTTAATTGTAGTCCCAATTAATTTTTTACCTTGATTTTGCATGAGTTTTGGTGTTTGAAGGACAATCTTTGTTTATGTGTTGAACTTCTAAATTAAAAAAAATATATATATACATAATGTATCCAAGTAAAAAAAAACTTATATATTAAAAAAAAGAGAAAGTACAGATCCAAGAGTTAAAAAAAATTGTAGAGGTTAACCCAAATTATTATGTTACATTATCATTTATGAATGTTAATCTATTAAATTATATTCCGTCCTTTTTTAGATCTCTGCATTGTCTCATTTAATTCTTTTTTAGTAGTGTTATAATTTTCTAATTTTATTATTTTGTCTTTTAAAATTGAAGTTTTGTCTAGAGTTTTATATATTCTTTAACCTCTTGAGTCAAGACTTAAATCTCGTAACATTTTTCACATTGTTGGTTCAATCTTTGCTTAAGCTATTGGAGTTTTTTATCGAGCACTAAAAAGAATTTGAGTGAAAAAAAAATGGGCAAGAGAGTACTAAAAAAACCTATTTGTGTGATATATAAGTGAAATTTGAGTGAAACACTTGGAGATTATTACTATTATTACTAACATTTTCTTGCAGGACATATGAAATGACAAACATTGGCTATATCCAAACTTGATATATATCTAACATTGAAAATTGGGAAATTTGTCACCACAACCTCTACCAAAATTTCCAATACGAGAAGAAATATATGTACGAGAGCCTCCACGATTACTATTACCATGACTATACTAGGATTTAGTATAGTTCAATGATAGTGAGACTAAACTTTGTGTCTCCTTGACACAACCACCAAGTCATGTTTCATGACAATGTAGAAGAGCTTCAATTTTAGCAATTAATGACGTGTGTTTCTTGCTTTCAAAAATCAATACAACTGGAGCATAATTGGAGGGAAGTCCTTCAAAAATAGCATCAACAGGTTCTTCATGAAGCACAAAAGCACCAAAATCGACAAGTTCATCAATGTAACTTTTATTCTTAAGAAGAGAATCTCTTCCATTGTTTTTGAATAAAGTAATATAGCACGCATCGCAAAACGCAATTTTCTCCCAAACCTCATGAATGATTAGAGCCAAGAACATGAGAGAATGGAAAACAAGGAGAACAATTCGCAATTGCAAACCACAAAAAGCGAAAGGACGAAAAATAATACACAAAAACAAAGACGACAAAGACTCTAGCAGAATCACAAAGAAAGTAACTGCTAGAGATGAAGAAGATGGATCATCGAGAAAATTGTTCCAGATACCATCTTAGAGAAACTGAATTGAATTGAAGAATGAATTGAATTTTATTATCATGTCTCACACAATAATAGGAATACACAATTGTATTTATTGGCCCCACTTACAAAAAAAGCTATTTAGAAATAGCCAACAGCTGTAAAGGACTGCCAGTTAACAACTGTACAAACTAACTTATTTTTACTAATAAAGGTTAAGACACTTTATATACACCTTATTCTTTTAAGGAAATATCTATAATAGAGTCATCAAACTTCAAAATACACAATTTCTTAATTTCTTAAATGAAGTAATTGACCTTATGATGCTATCTTAATGAACTTGAAGTGAGATCAGTAAATAAGTTGATAAAAATAATACACAATTTTGTACAAATGAAAGTACATAACTGTGATACTAGATGTGGTATGTTGTACATCTTATTGTTTTACACTTCATAAGGCACAAAAAAAATGTTTCTACATGTTTACAAATTACTTGGTTTATATCTAATCTTCATATTTCATTTCATTTCATGAATATACAATTGAGTTTTTGTATCTATCCACCTTCCATTTCAATATATCAATTTTCTTCCGTCAGGGTTGAGTGCATAAAAGGATGTACAAATGGCAATTGAAACACAACCCAAGGGAACCTACTCGGGTAGCAGGGGCAATCTATCCAGGGTGCTGAATGAGCCGTTCACTTGGCCATTGGAGGCAAGTTCATTTAATTCACTATCAAACTCAAAAGTTTCACTACTTTTTACATCATCAGTTTCATAATGGGATGGAAGTATGCGTAGATGTACACCTGACTCTCCACTGATTCTCCTTATTTCTAGTTGGTATTTACGAATAAGTTCCAGCTGCTGAGATATTATGTGGGATGATCTTGGTAGTAGATCCACAGGTTCTCCCTTCAGAATAACTGTATGCTCTATAGCCATTCGTGCCTCCTGAAATATTCAGAAAGAGATTGTGCCAACCATTATTGAGTAACTTTAACTGACATATATATATATATATATATATATATTGAATTTCAGTTGCAAAATATGGCACACTGTTTCATACCAGCTCAAGAATACAGCAAACATTTTGACCATGGAATTTATCCATTTCTACTTCATTCACTTCATAATATCAGTAATCAATCATCAAATATTGAATTGACAGTAGATAGATTCAGGGTCTCTTTGGATAATGTTAGCACTCAAGTAAATAAAATATTAGAATTTTAACTAAAACCTAGCTCAATCCCATAAAATTGACTCATAAAGTAAGGGCTACCTAATCTAACTAACTTTTATCTTAGTCATGTATTTCTTGGTACTGTGCAACCATTTCACCACCCTAGAGGCTGCAATACAGGCAGCGCACAAAGAAACCACAACTAAGACGAGTTATAAGTGACTCTAAGACAACTTTCCAACACTTTCCTGTCCAAGGGCTTGGCCTGGAACATGGCAATGGAGATAAGCAGATAATAGATCTGAGATAAGCATTGATACCACAGAAATTGATGTTAAGAATTAACTCAACTCTGCCAAATCAGCTTAAAAAGTGAAATTTAACTAAACTTTATTTGTCATATCTAAACTTTCAAACAGAAAATAAAAAGGAAAATGAAATAAATTTATAATAAGCTGAAATTAATTATGCGTAAGTTGAAAATAAGCTTGTGCACAAGTAAAAAAGTAAGTTTTTGCTGAAGTCAAACAAGCTTTTAAGAAGTTAATCTAGAAATTTTCTATAGATTAGCTTATGCATATATTAATTTTAAATTATAAAGAAATTGATTTTATTTTTTCTTTTATTTTCTTCTAGTGTTTCTGGAGAAGTTTATTAGAACAACCCTCAGTAAGATTTTTCTCCTCACCTTGTCAATCAACAAAACTAAGCAAAGCACCACCACCATGCAGCAAGGTTAGTTCTACATTTACCATCACTCTAGCGCTCTCCTATGTAAAGAAGGTTGGCTCAAATCCCATAGTGGATAAAAAATATTATTTGCAATTGATACAGGTGTTTTTCTCAATCAAATGATTATGGGTCTCGTATAGATAACGAGGACTTTATGGAGAAAAATGTGAATTCTTTAGTATCCAACCACCCCATATCTCTACACAACTCTAACCAAATCCATACAACTATATAACTACGTATTTGTTATAACCTGTAACTAGAATTTAAAAGACCTTTAGATAGTATTGTTTTTAATTGAATAAGATATTGCACTAATTAATGCTTTCTGTTTTATTAAATTTAATAATAAAATAATATTTTTGTTTTACTAATTGCTAAAAGAAATGGCACATCAAATTATTCATTTAACTAAAATAATGATATTGGTACCATTGGATGTGGGCTTATAGATAAAAAAGTACCAGTACTATACGGGTCTTTTCTAAAACTGGGGTATGGTAAAGGAAACTCTGCTATCCTACTAAATCTTAGTCGTTGTCATCCAGTCATTCCTGCTCCTTCACCACAATTACATTAATTACGCTGCATCTGTTGTTTCAACCTCCGTCAATTTTCTTAATTCTGTTTCCAAATTAAAATCACCTAAATTGCAACTCAGGCCATGAAGGGCATCCTCATCATCATTTTAGGAATACATTTGACTGCTAATTTTAAACAATTAATACTTAATTTGGATATCCACAGCATTTCTTGTAAGAAACACCACAAATTTAGAAATGAAGCTACAAATAAACAAGCAAAGATACCACAGAAAAGCAATAATGAAAATATATTATGCTGAGACCAGAATCGAAACAGCTAAATGACTCTTTCTGAATTCATTTCCATATGTCTATCTTGTTACATTTATGAATCACAGATCAATAATTAAAGAACAATAAACCTTTATAAAATTGAACAGTTCCCAATTCTCTTTAGAACAAAAAACTGGAACGTACCTGAAGAATTGATCATTGGAAACAATTAATGAATCATGTTAAATTGGTCTCTGATCTTCTATGTGAAGCACCTTAGATTCCCTCTTGATTTTCTCTTCTGATAGGGATAAAGAGAAAGAAACGGGAATGATGTACGTGCTCACAGACGAGGACCATAACCCCTTTATGTAACCTTTGTCGGTTACTTTTCTTAAGTTCCAATATTTCAATTTGACCCCTCAACAAATTAAATTGTCGAATATGATCTCTACATAATAATCCTTTCATGACATATATGCCCTTAGCCACATTTAGTTAATCAGATCACTTTATAATTGGCTAATAAATTACAATGACCCTAACAAATTTAATGATTTGTCATATATATATATATATATATATGAAGGACCCAAAATTGCTAACAATCTCCCACTGGTCACAAATATATATATCTATATAAATCTTTACAAATATGTTAGATTTTATGAACTCAAAATTGTCATTATATACCTTAAGCATATCCAAAGATCGCATCCATTGATTATATCCGCATGTAGAACCAAAAAAGTTTTCATAGCATCAATTGCAATCAAACCTGACAATGATCACTAATCCTAACAGAACCAAATGACATAGATTCATCATGAAATGTGTAAGCATAAAAACTCCCTAGCATTGAAACATTAAATTTATAAATTTCATTTTGAGCATTGATTGAGACTGAACTCGTCTCCCTTAGCAACTGGAGAATCCCCTTATTTACTATTCTTCACGCTAAAACTTTTAAGTATGTCATCAACAACAAATTCTTCCTTTTGAGTATAGCTCTTTTGCCACAATATGAACTTTATATCTCTCCATATTACCATTACAATCCCTCTTGGTCTTAAATATTCACTTACTACCAATCGGCTTCATACCTTTTGGTAATGGGACAAGTTCCCAAACCTTATTGCCTTGCATAGATTTATAGTCCTCACGAAGAACAGGTTTCTAAGGATTTTGAGTTTGTTCTTATAGAGATTCTGAACTTTCTAGAGGTTCGAAACTTGCTTCATCATAAGCAATTGTTGTAAAACATGAAATTAAATGTAATCTATATTTCTTCCTTGAAACTTATTAAAACTTACTACTACATTTATAGAGGTGTGAATGTAGAAGTTAGGCACCTCCTAACCTAAGTTAGGCACCTCCTTTAAGACAAGTTAGGCACCTCCTAAGACATGTTAGGCACCTCTTAAGATAAATAAATATTACATTTCAATATTTTAACACTCCCCCTCAAGTTGAATCATACAAATTGTATAAACCAAGCTTGGAATAGACAAACTCCATCAGAGAGAATGTCAATAAACCAAATTGGACTCATAAACCAGTGTAGCCCAAGAGACTCTGAGAAACATATGGAGAATAATATTGGACAATAATGGACAAGAGTGAACTAGCACCATGAAACTTCAACTCGAACAACAATGGACAAGAGCGAACTAGCACCATGAAACTTCAACTCGAATGACTACAACAAAAGAGATTTCCATCAAAAGTGGATGACGGCCTGCAGCGGCAAACAACAACAAACTACAAGGACTAGATTGCCATCAACAGTGGCGAACAACAACAAAACTTCAGGAGCTGGATTTTATCAATAACAGATGGGAGGCCTACAAAGGCTAACAACAACAAACCTTCAAGGCCTTAACTTTCCTGAACAACAACAAACCTCTAGGGAGTTAACTACCCTAACAACAACAAACCTGCAGGCACAAAACAACCATCATTGATTGATGGGTCTTGTAGTGGTTGAAACTTTCTCCCTCTCACGACTGAACGACAAAAATAACTGCACGTCAAGGACAGAACGTGAAGGTGGAAGAACTGGCACTTCAAAAGACTTTCCCCAAGAGAAGCAGCTGATGGGGGCATGCAGTGGCTGGAAATATTCCCCCTTACGGCAAATGGTGGAAATGACAACTCGTGCGCTTCTCGAGGCACAATTAATCTTGACCAAAGAAAATGCGGCAGCTTATTAAGGCGACAACAATAAATTGTAGCGGCAACAACTGACTGTGATGGCGGCAACTGACTGCAACGACGACTGACTAAGCCGATGCCGACTGTGGCAGCAGTGACATCAAAGCACCTACCAACAAAACAGATTTGAGAAGGGACTGGTGAAATTGTTGACTGAGATCGGGAACATCACAAATGCAGAAATAGACTCCCCTTCATACCACAGGCCAACGGGGACATCACAGTTGCTTAACAAACAAAGTTGAACACACATCAGTGAAGGAGGCTAAGGTCATCAACGTGGAAGCTAGAGTGGACTAGCTATCACCATCAAACAGCTAGAACAAAGTAACAAAATAATCAAGAAACAATGCTGAAATTCTTTTTTCTTTTTTCTTTTCATTTCCTTTTATTTTTTAATAATTGTGGCACAAAAGAAAAGAGAAGAGGAAAGATTGTGGTGATGGCAGTAACCAAATACACCACTAAGAACCATGGTTGGATTACCATAAGGATGACAGATGGCATCAAAAGGCAAAGACAGGTTAGAGGTTCAAAGGTTCTCTGCTGAGCTACTCCCAAGAAGTGGGCTAAACTCAAGCCCAAGAAGAAAGTAACCAATAACAATCAAAGAAAGAAATGACGCAATGGTGTCGAGAAACAAATCTGAACATGAAACAGCGTCACAGAACAACTTCAATCTTGTTGGCATCAAGCCAGATCTGAATCAGAGAACAATGACCATCGTGATAGAGAAAGTCGTCTAGGCCAACACAAAGCTGTCGTGAGCCTCGTCGTTGAGATGGCGTCAATTGTGACCACAAACGTGACAGAAACGTGCCACCTAATGCAACCAATTTCGCAACCCCTGCAAATGCGCAAACTACCATTGCAGTATGCGAGTCACCATGATAAATGCGCCACTGCAATGAAAATGTGAAGGAAGAAGAAGGCGAACCAGACAAGAACCCATAATACGAGAAAGCATAGAAACTCTCTCGAAAACCATGGTTGAACGTTGAAGGAGATTATGCAAAGGTAGATTCCTAGTTCGAACAATAGAAAGGGACGAAAACAGATTGGGGATTTTTCCCTAGTTTGAAGTTTATGAAGGATTTAGGGTTCTTAATTTTGAATTTAGGTTCTTTAACATTAAGGTCTCCAGAATTGTGGGTTTTACTCATACTAATTAATTTGGGTTTTGTGATATTAAAGAACATTAATTAGGGTTTCTATTATCTTAATCCAAACCACATCATTCATTAAAATAATGAATCAATAAAGGATTTCAAATGCAACGATAATCAATTAAATGAAAAACCCCAAATTTCATACACAAAATTTCTCATAAAATTGGAGTTCAAGCCAATTAATCATAAACTAAGATGCTCTGATACAAATGGTTAGATTTATGAATCACGGATCAATAACTAATGAGCAATAAACCCTTAAAAAATAGAGCAATTCCTAATTCCCTTTAGAACAGAAAGCGGAAGCGCATCGGAAGGATTGACCATTGGAAATAATTAAAAAACCACGTTAAATTGGTTTCTGATCTTCCCTTTGTAGAGCACCTTACAGGGATGAAGAGAAAGAAACAAGAATGATGTACGTGCTCCCAGATGGGGATCATGACCCCCTTATGTAACCTCTGTAGGCTACTTTTCTTAAGTTTCATATTTCAATTTGGCCCCTCAACAAATTAAAATATTGAATATGATCTCTACACAATAATTATTTCATGACATATATGCCCTTAGCCGCATTTACTTAATTAGATCGCTTTATAATTGGTTAATAAAATACAATGGCCCTAACACATTTAATGACTTGTTATATATGTATATGAATGACCCAAAATTGCTAACATATATATGTCTTTCACAACTTGTGATTTTTACCATGAATTGATAGCTTCAAATAAAAAGAAAAGGGAAAAGGAAAGATGTTAAAACTACAACATTTAAATTACCTCCAAAGCATCAATCATCTCTAATGATTTTATCTTGTCCGGTACTTCAAAATCCTTTATACCATCTTCATAATCACTTAATAATGCCCGTATAGCTTTTGTTACATGCTCCAGAGAACTTGTCTAGACGGAAAAAATAATACTCTTTTAGAAAAAGTGTATGACAACAGAGTATAGTTGTAAAAGAAATGTTAGAAATCATTACCTTTGTTACATAAATGGGAATATCATGAGATTTAGCAGCAGCCTGGATCCCTGGATTCTTTTTAAGCTTTGATTGTAAGGCAAGTAAAGCATTTGCTTCACTAATATTATCAGTCAATTGAATGGCCGCATCATTGATTTTCAATTGCTTAATCCCTTGATTAACAGTTGCGTCTAAAATCTAGAATTACTGACCAGTCTGTAAGTTAAACAGATGATAAAATATAAAAACAAAAAGAGTTTATATTATTCATTACTCTGCTAGACCAACAACGCCATGAACTCCATACTCCCTACGTTTGTAGGAGTTACTCTTGACTTACAATAAAGAGGGTTTATCTGATTGTCAACTTCCAATCAGAAGTGAAAGGCACCAGAATACACTAAATGGGAGAAAGAAATTTAAAGATGTAGAGAAATTCAAGCTCAAATTTTATTCAGATAAAAAAAACTGCAAGCCTGTTAGAGTAGTTAGTTTTAGAGTCAATTAACTAACTATAAATAATGTTTGTTGGGGCTGATAGGATGGTTATCAATTCAGTTGTAAAATTCTCTTTGTATCTCATTATCTATCAACAAAGATTGTTACTTTGGATTCAGGAGAAAACATTTTTTACCAGCTACAATAGGATGTTGTAATTAATTACAAGTGTGTTGTTGGGAGATTTTAGAGATCTTTGTGTAATCATTATTCTAAGGTTAGAGTTTTGTATATGTAGAGGCTGATTTATTGTTTTTAGTGAATCAATTCATTAAAATCTTTTCTCAGTTTTAATCTTTTTCAAGTTGATATCAAAGTCTTCGATCTTGAGAGCTCTACTTTCGCATTTCTTCGTAGTTGTCTTAGTTGTGGTTCTTACTTTTATGGTTTTTTGAAGTGCACCAATTTTCTTTTATTATTAGGATTGTCTGAAATGCACCCAACAACCACCATCTTTGTTACCACCTTTTCCACTGCCATTACGGTTGCTGAACTTCCAACCAGATTGGCGATCACACCAAGGGATTCATTGTACTCCGATTTGTTGGTTGTTAGAGTCATGCTACCATCTGCATAGCCATGAAGTTGCACATGCATCTTCTTTCTCTGAGTGGGATTCACCGAACGCGTTTTTGCCTCCACATGCTTCATTGGAGTCGTCTGGAGGTGGCCATTCCATATCTACCCATGTTTTTCCCTTTCAATTTGGGTTGCGTTTCTCTCCTTCCACAAAAGCATTGTTCACGGTACTGTTTTCTTTTTCTATGAACTGTTCTTTTAAAACTATGGTATCCCTTGTTTTTTAGCAATAACAACTCCAATAAGCAATGTTGATCTTCCACATTTGGCTCATGATAATAATCATCTTAATGGTTGGAATTGTCTCTAGAGAACTTAATTTATTAGATGGAAAATGAAAGGCACATGTAGACTCAACCATATTAAAGGAGATGTCATATCTCGGTATAATCCTAATTTCCAAATTGGGGACAATGATGACTCAAATTATTACATAATTATGTGTATGCTAACAACAAAGTAGAAATTATATGTTGTACTCTAGTGCCAGTGAAATTTGAGAAGACTACAAATATTTATCCATCAACATACACCATGAGATTCTTTAATTGAATAATTCCAGTGACGTCATTCCAGTAATAAAAATATCATCAACATACATACACCATGAGATAAACAAATTTGCCAGGAGAAGATTGACCATAAAACACTGAATGATCCGCCTCACATCGTTTTAGTCCAAAATTTTTCACAACCCGACTAAATTTACCAAACCAAGCTCGAGGTGATTGCTTCAAGCCATAGAGGGAATGTTGTAATTTACAAACTAACCCAGACTCCCCCTAAGCAACAACCCCAGGAGGTTTCTCCATGTATATCTCCTCTCCTACTCTAGATCACCATGAAGATAGGCATTTTTAATGTCCAACTAGTAAAGTTGCCACTGACGAATGACAGCCATAGCAAGCAAAATACGAACCATACTGGTTTTAGCCACAGGAGAAAAAGTATGATAATAGTCAAGACAATAAACTTGAGTATATCCCTTAGCTACTAGACGAGAGGGATAAGGTCCCAAGTACCATTGTGTTCAAGTGCTTGCATTTCATCAACCATGGCTTGTCGCCATCCAGGATGATCAAGTGCCTTATGAATATTATTAAGAACCTTAAGGTCTTGTTCACTTGAATGGATTTGGGGGAGAGCAATTGAGGGGATTTGAGAGGATTTGAAGATAAATTTTTTTGTTGTTTATTTGAGTGAATTTGAAGGTAAATGTAAGTGGATTTTGAAGTAAATTTTTTTAATCTGTCACGTCAATAAAATCTTACACTAATTTTAAGAAACTTTACTTCCAAATCCACTCTCATTTACCTCCAACTTCACTCAAATAAACAACAACAAAATTTATCTTCAAATCCTCTCAAATCCCTTCAATTACTCTCTCCCATCCATTCAAGTGAACAAGGATAAGGAGGAAACAAAAGAGAAATAGGGAGGAGAAAAACGATGATAACTCAAAAAATTATAACCAGGATATGGACTACGAGTAGAGCGAATACCTTTCCAAAGGCCAATGGGAAAATTATCATCGGAGTCAAGAGAAGGCAAGGAGGATCTAAGTCTCAAGGATCTTCAGTGTTCTGAGTTTTAGATTGTCTCCGACAATGATATGTGATAAGAGGTGGATGAACAATGTTATTCACATTTTGAGTTTGAGGTACAGAAGCAGGAATAACTAAGGAATCAAATGATGGTAGAGGAAACATTTGTTGAGCAAATGAACGGTCCTCCATGGAGGACAAGAAAAAAGGTGTATCTTTAAAGAATGTGACATCAACAAACATATAATATCTCTTGGTGAAGGGAGAATAACATTTATATTCTTTTTGAAGACGAGAGTATCCCAAGAAAACACACTTAATAGCTTTTGTAGAGAGTTTATCAAGACCTGGAGAAACATTATGGACAAAACACGTACACCCAAATACACGTGGGGAGACATGGTATAGAGTGTTGTTTGGGAAAATGATAGAGTGAGGAATTTTATTCTCAAGAGAGGAAGAAGGCATCCTATTGATTAGTGTTGAAATATATTTTATTGTATAATTGGACTTTTAGTTTTGGGCTTTTAGGTGCTGGTCCATTTTTTCTTATATAGGACATTTTTGTGTAATAGAAACTTCAACACACAGTAATAATATTTTTACGATTAGATTTTCTCTCTCAAACTTTCACATGGTATCCAGAGTAGGTTAGGGTTTGCCGTTCGCCACTGCTCACTGCCCGCCTCCGCATCCGCCGTCGTTCACCGTCGCTTCCGCCGCCGTCGCCATCGCAGCCTTTTCTCCGGCGAAGTTAAGGGTTCGGTGCGCCTCGACGAGCGCGACCCATCCCTGGTGGTCGCCGCCTCATCCTTCTCTCGACGCGCCGTCACGCGTCGTTTCTTTCTGACCTTTCTCGGGCGCGTGGGCTTCACGTGCCGCCTCTCCCGTGTCGGATCTTCACCGCGCCACTGCCAGTCGTTTCGCCTCCATCTCCTGAGTGTATTGTGGTCTCTGATTTGTTGTTCCGTTGAGGGTTGCTCCGTTTAGGGTTTCTTCCCACAATCTTTTTTTCCCCTCTTTTCTTGTTTGGCTTTATAATGGCTGGTCTTGGAACACCGTCTCTCTCTGCTACTCCAACCATTACTTCTGCAAAACTCAATTGGAAAAACTATCTATCTTGGTCTTCTTCCGTGGAGTTATGGTTTCTTGGTCAAGG